AGATAATTTTGGGAATACAATACAGTTATTTTTAGTATTACACTGCACGAACCAAGGTGGTATACGTGTTGATAGTAAATGTTGATTAGGTCATCACAAAATTGTGTGAAGAAAAGACTCAACTCGAAAATGCTGAATATGTTTCATTATACGTTTGGTGCGAAGGAAGTTCTGTCGAAACAACGTTCGATCAATTTTTTGACAATGGTTGATATAAATAAAACTCAGTGGATGCTCATACTCGAAATACGAAGTATCTACTCGAATATCAAATCAAAATATTTCTAGTTTTTCTAGATGATACTAATACTTCAGTAAGTAACAGTTGATGCTTAAGTAGCATCTCGATACAACAAAAAAGGACAACAGTGACAGTGTTCAACCATCAATGCAAAAATCGAGTCACCAAAATATAAGTTAGTATGGGGTAGACACCTTGAGATGGGAATCTCTATGGCCAGTGTCAGAAAAAACGCACTGAACAATTTATGCATAAACAAAAGTTAATTACATGAAAAGTCTTCGATATTCCTGCTCTTAATGTGTTTTTCAAACTGAATGCACCTTTTGACGACGTTCCACGTTCATGAAAGTCACCATGTTTAGTTAAAATTCACTCTTACAACGATCCTACTGGTTTTCTAAGCTGCTTTACAGACAGCTCAGTTATTTGCCACGCCGATTCTCATTTTTTGATTAAATGCTCACAAAACGCGTAGATGTTCAGTTTGTGTCCGGGAAGATAGAATGTTTCCAAGTAGGTACTGTTACGGTTCGAAAATAAGGGGTTGCCTAGATAACAGCGAGTCAGGCGCAAGTGAGAGACTGCGGTGAACGAGTGGCATTTTGAGCAGGGAAAGCGCGATTGGTCGCCTAATCGGGAATTTCCGCAACTCGTCCGACGGGATCGTGTTAAAACAGAAATCGAGTAACGGTCGGCAGCGGACGCACAAAATAAGGGGTTGTAACTTTTGGGGGAGCGACAGCCCGGAAAAGTTACACCGGGGGTGCGAGTGAGTGAGCTATAGAACCGTAAGTAAGTCACCCTTGCGAGATCCCGTATAAACCAGGTTTTCCTTTGCACAGAGACAGCCAAGTTTTCGGTTTCTTTTCTGTTTTTTTCTACAACTTTTTTCCTCCTCGACGTGGCGTGTTACTAATTTCTTTTGGAAGAAGAACGAAAAACCCCATTGGGGAGACCGTAAGAATTCCTCAGGCCTCCAAACCTCCCGACTCGTCCCACTGAGCCGACAAAGGGGGCGTCACGAAAACGAGAGGAACCGCCGTGCCAGATTTTTCCCCCCCCACGAATCCTCCCGCAGGACTTGCCTACAAAGGAGGGAGGAAGCAACCTGTATGGTGGTAATTCGTATCGAAAAGGGCGCTGTGTGCGACCCACTGTGTACATGTTAAGCTAAGGTGCTAAGGTGTAGTTTGGTAATTAATCTGTGATTTGAAGGGCGCTGTGTCGCGTCCAGTGTATTTCCTGTTTCATTACATTTAAGTAAGTTACCGTCTTTTTTATATACCCCATCTCCACCAGCGCATAGGTCGGTCGGCACAAAGGGTGTCGTAACAGTACTCAGTACATAGAGTAGATGCTCAGGTATATAAGAGTAATAATGAAGTAGGTACTTGATTATGTTGATTATGAGCACAACGCTGATCAACTTCCATATCCGAATTACCCATGAAATAAAGCATTGCGGTTTGCACCTGAGGTAGTTCGTCGCACATTTGATTGACTTCGTGTACCTATGTCAGCTTGTCGTTTTCTCGGCATTGTAATAAACTTCATAAAACGACAGAATCATTTTCACAGTCAACCAAATCTGTAAATTTTGTCTTGAGAATTTTAAAATATTGAAAACTTCAAATTAAATCCTCGAATAACGGTAAAGTTTGAGGTTTTGTCGAAACCAACAAAGTGAATATAGGTATATAGAATATCAATGAATGATAATTCAGAAGGACGAGCCGACATAGATATCTATGTCGATGGTGCCAAAACAGATAGTGGTTCAGGAGCCGGCATCTACTCCGAACAACTGAACGCACAAATCAGTGTACCTCTCGGCACCCACACGTCTGTCTTACAAACAGAACTGATGGGAATAATGCTGGGAGCTAGAATCATTGCTGAACGTGAAATCGGCAACAAATCAATACGCATACTTACTGATAGCAAGTCTGCACTACTAGCCCTGGACAGCTGTATGGTTCGATCCGGGCTGGTTTGGGAGTGTAGACAAACGCTAAAGTATGTAACGCAGAGGAATAGTGTGGAACTTTGTTGGATCAAAGGACACAGTGGCAACGAAGGAAACGAGAGGGCAGATGAGATGGCGAAGCGAGCCGCGCGCATGCCCTTCTGGGGACCTGAACCGGCAATCACGCCTTCGGTCGCCCTCTCGAACGAACTCGTAAAGCAATATACCCAGAGACGCCATGAGCAGATATGGGTGAAGTTGAGCAGCTGTCGGCATAGTAGAGCTTGTATGGCGACACCAGACCGTAGTTGACGAAATTTTATCTCTCACTTTCAAGGGACAAACTGCGTAAACTGGTAGGATTCCTTACGGGACATTACCAGTTTAACAAACATCTACATACGATAGGGGTGGTAACAGACCCAATCTGTCGTGGATGCAATGAAGAAGAGGAAACAGCTGAGCACATTCTTCGTGAGTGTCCAGCCCTAGCCTCCTACAGGGAATCCATACTAGGGGACGTCTGGCCTAGTATGGCAAATATCAGGGAGTTTCCACCCTCTGCATTACTCAAGTACATTCAAGCAGTTGGGTGGCTTGACGAGTAGAGGAGCGGGAAAACACCCTGATATGGACTTGGGGAAGGTACAATGGGCCCAAAGGCGAGGCCTAAGTGCCGGCTGGCTACGGTCAGCCCCCATAAATTAAGAATCCAGGTAAATAGAATGGCAGATCAAAATGAATAAGAAACTTTCGCAATGTGTAATTAAATTCACTTTAACCAAGACTTTTCTTAAAATAAACGACGTTTTTTTTACGAAAAAACAAAGAACGATTTGAAATGCAATATATTTTTCACAATCTCACGGAAGAATTAGTTTTGTATGACACGTCAGTTAGACGACAGGTCCGTCAGAAACGCCAACTATTGAAATTAATTCGAAGTGCCGATTCCCATACAAAATTTTTAGAATTTTTTTATTTTTTAACTGTCCTTTTAAGCAATCCTTATTTTTTTTATTTATAAACCATCCCCGTAATATAAAAAATGTTTCGAATCGGTCAAGCCGTTTTTGAGTCTTAGCGAGACTAACAGGAACAGCAATTGATTTTTATTTTATAGACGATTAAAAAATGGGGGTTGGTGGTAAAAAGGTGAAAATTTAGGGTTATGTGTATTTTGTGATGCCAAATCTTAAAAAAATAAAAATATAAAATTTTGTCCAAAAAATAGACAAACATTTTTTAGGGTGGGCCACCCTTATCACTTAGGGGTTTAAAAAATAGTTTACAACCCATTGTCAGACCTACCGAATATATATAAAACATTTCATACAAATCGGTCAACCCATTTCGGAGAAGTTCGGTTACAAACACTGTGACGCGAGAATTTTATACATAATGCATTATTATTTTAGAACAAATTTCCTTACCATAAAAAAGGTTATACTGACTCGACCTTAAAAGATAAACATATGCCGTCGCGGACTTTTCTTTAGAACTTTTAGAGGGGAACAATTTCGTCATACATGATTTTTACGTAACTTTAACCGTTTACGCAGCGTAAGCAACTGAAGCTGTCAAAGGAGGAATAATTTTCCCGTTTTTCCGAATTTTTCATTGCTACTTCGCTCCTAATGATCGTAGCCTGATGTTATATAGCTTATATGTAGATATGATACATGGACTATCCAACACAAAAAGATTTTTTGAATTTGAACCAGTAGTTTCTGAGATTCGCGTGTTCAAATAAACAAAAGCTTCAGCTTTATTATATAAGTATAGATTATTTGTCGTAATGGAATTTCAAAGTGAATATACATATTTTGATTTCATAAAACTAAAAAAAATCATAAAAACATGAAATTGAGCATTCGTCAAATGGACGTTATCACAATATTTCCCTAGCTTACCATCGGGAAGTAAAAATCACGTTCTTAACCTGTATTAGCGCGTTCGCTTAATTAAATTTTTCAAATTAATGCTCACCTGAGCGAAATATACGTGAAAAGTTACAGCGTTAACCCGTTTGTAAAGCATCAGTAGCCCACTCGCTAGCTGAAATTGAACTCGGAATTTATCGGGCATTTAAATATGCGGAGCGAAACCAAAATCGTATAACGTAAATTGAGATTATGTTAGTAGCATATAAGCCTATGTAGGATAAAATTACAAATCGATATTTTATCTAAAATACTTCAATTTTTAAGTGTCGGAAAAATCAAAGGATAAATTGTTAATTTAAACTACTTTTAATGGCTAAACGTGCATTTCGGATAGGCAGCGATTTTTCTTATGGAAATCATAGGATAGTAGGCCGACAATTTAAAACTGAGTTTTCGGGACTGGGGGTGCTGTCAATTCGGTCATCATTTTGAAGAGAAGAAAAGTGCAATTGGTTTTTTTATTTATCTCCGTCACCGTGGATCTGGCAAAAAATTTGTGTTTAAAAGGGTTGTAGATAATATAATTATGTATCAGTCTTATTCATAACTTTTTGGCGCAACATTAAGCATAAAAAAATTATGGACACAAAAATATAAAAAATTAAGGGAGGAAAAACTTCGATAAAGTCTTCTCAAATCAATTTTTTACCAATGCAAAACCAAATGTGATGAAGTGGCAGGCTGACTGGTCAAGTAGAAGACATCATCACTTAGATTGTTATATTTTTTTGTTAGTTACTTTTTTAATTTATACAAATTTATTAATCAAAGTTGCAGATAATAATATTATCTAAAAAAATTCTTATATAGGTATAAAACAACTAATTGAGCCCTTTTTTTCAAGATGGCAGCCGAATGCCAGCAGCTCAAGTTTCGAAAACTCAATTTTAGACTCATGGCCGACCACTGTCTCACTGTACTAAATACTAAGTTTATACTTTTACAAAAAGCGGTCCCACATGATAGTAAACAGAACTCCAACAGAGGGAAGACTAAAGACACACTGAACATACATTGAGCACTTAAAGAGCAAACGATTTTTAATTCCCACTTCACCAGCCACAGAGGGGTGATGCTCGAATTCCTAGTCGGAACAGTTGGACGAGTTCCAAGTATGTTGTATTCCAAAGACGAGAATAGACAATCAAAAGAGGAGGGGCTGGGAATTCTGAGCTCTGGTGCCTATTGCTGCTCCAAAATTTGTGTTTAATTTTTTCTTTTTTAATTCATTTGGAGAAATTATCGGTATAGAAATCATCATTCCCCTTTATTTCTGAATGAGATAACTGAAGAACATTTGTCCTCATCCAGTATGATTTTTCTAGCATTTCAGAAATGAATCTCACTGAAAATATGAATAAATCTTCTAAAAAACTCTTCGTCCAAAGTTCCGTATATCTTGAATCATCCACTTTTTAGTAAATTTAAACAAAGTTTTCCTTGCTAGAATTCGGCTATTCTCCCACAAATGCTTGTAAGAGATATTTTGATTTTGAAATATGTTTAGAATTTCCAACCAGGTTGTGCATATTTTTTTGACTTCCTAACTTGTAAACTACAACAGCACAACTTAAATGACTTTTGACAGATGAAGAAAACGAAGATCCAACAAAAGAAAATAAAGATGCGTTCTATGGAGGATTGCTACAAGCAATAGATGAGGGAGAAGAATATACAAGAAGATATAATGAAACGAAGGATATACTTAGTTATAGTTAGAAAGATTTGAAATAGAAGAGAAATGGAACGAATTCAAAAATAGCTTACTGGATGCACCAAGAAAGAGCTGTGAAATTACAAAAATAACAAATAGATTATTATTATTATTATTCGTAATAGTATTCCAACAGGCGAATCCAATTATACGAATACGGAATGGTACCAAAAAAGTTAGAAAACTCAACAACTAACAAATAAATATTTTAACTATAATTTCTCTTTATACTTCCTCTAGAACATCCTACTTTCGCTCAATCCGGCCTGTTGTTTAATATACTGCAAGGTAGATGAAAATATGTCAAATTGTTCTGCATGAGAGTAATTTTTGATGGATTGGTGTAGAGGTGATGCCAACAATACTTTCGTCCTAGGGACTGTTACCTCCAACAAGTTATTACTTCTTAACCTTCCAATCAACGTTCGAAACCTCAAGCGGCTTAGCAAGTCAGAACAGTCTATTTGAAATCGTAATATTTTGACCAACATATTCTCCTCCGGGAATCCCTGTTTAGGGTATACACCGTCAGTTCTGAAAACCATATAAATAAAAGGTTTTCGGAACACCAGCTATTAATTCTACCAAGTTTATTTTGCAATTTTCAACAATCAGCGGAATTTTGTATTTCTGGAAATATTTTCACATCGTCAGCAAACAGAGTGGAAATTATGTGTAGCAAAACCATACCGAACAGAGTTCATGAAATCATGTCATGATGAACCAATTGCTGCGCACCTAGGCATGTTCAATACTTTGAAAAGAGTGCAGAAGCTTTATTATTGGCCACATTGTTGGCCACGCATGCTTAAGGATCTACGTTATGTGAGAAGCTGTGAAGTATGTAAGGCGCAGAAGCCTCTCAATTTGGCGCCACCAGGATTGATGGGGAAGTCCCGTAAGGTCTCCTATCCGTGGCAGATGGTTGCGTTGGACCTAATAGGACCATTACAAAGGTTGTCTAATGGTAATAAATTTTTGCTTGTGGTATCAGACTGGTTCACGAAGTTTTGCTTATTGAAGCCGCTGCGACAGGCGATTAGCAGCCGTATCACCACCTATCTACGAGAGAATGTCTTTTATGTCTTTGGCGCACCGCAAGTGATAGTGTGCGATAATGGGAAGCAGTTGACGACCAACATGTTTAAAGGATTGGCCAAAGAATTTGGAACCAATTATGGTTTAATTGCAAATACCATCCTCAGGTGAATCCTGTGCTAACCTGAAGTTGTATAATAAACTACTATTAACACCCATTGGAACATACCATATTTTTGTTATGGAACAATTAATTTCTAAAGGAGGGGGGTAATGGTCGACTTTTGTAACAGTTATTTCTGATAAACCAACCTTCAGTATCTGACTAGATATTACCAAACTCAATATTAAACCTTTACTATTAAGAATCTCGTTAGCTCAAAATAATTCAAGAAATTTAACAGCGACATAATTTTGTTGTTACACACTGAATTAGATCGACTACATTGCCAAAATTCAGGAAAGTTGAAATCACTAAGTATTATCATTTTAGGTTTGAACAGATAATAATCTAATGACATTAAGGATTCTAAAAATAGCAGATATTTATCTACAGAAATCTTAGGAGGAATATACACCAAGACGATATAAAGGAATGTACCAGTAGTGTCCCTACATTTTACTATTACTACGAGTACATTAATCCCAGGTAGCACACAATATTTTAAAAACATGCAGGAAATATTTTGTTAATATTATATATGTGCTAAATATTTAAAATATTGTAGAAATATAAAATATATGTTGTGAAACATATATAAGAAAAGTAATATTTAATAAATATTGTTTAAAAGTTGGATACCAAATATATCAGACCTCAATATTTTTGACATATATATTAAATATATAATATTAAATATTGATTAATCTATAAATTTAAAATATTTTTTCATAAATCTTAGTCAGATATTTATTATTTCTATATTGTACAAATATTTCTTGAACATTGTGCTCAATATACAAGCACAAAACGTGTGATTCTTGATTTCTCATTAACTATTAGAAACATACAAATGTCAAAGATCAAAGTTGTACGGTTCTTTGCGTACTATACTCTAAAATAATTTTAAACTATACCGAGTGTTCTCTTTTTAAGACGTAGTACGCAACTTATACTTTTTCACGTGTATATTTTTACATATTCTCATTAACCTCCTCCTAGGTTTTATAGTAGAGTTTTTTGGAAATTTAAATATTGACAAAAATTACAATAAAGTTATTTTTAAATTGTTGTGGTGTTAATGAAGTTAAATTTTAATATAGAGATTATATTAAAAAATTGTAAAATTATTTTTAAATATGGATATTTAAGTGTTTTCAAATAACCTGTAGATTATTACTACATCTTATTTTATTTTTGTATCTTTTCTTTTTCTTGAAGTATTTTCTATACTTAAAGTTGATAGTTAATTTTTTACTTTTCTGAAAGACACGATCATATTAATGGTATTAGAACAAAAAACAGAGTAAGACATATTCATAAAATACAGGGTGTTCTATATTATAATATGGATATTTGAAAATTTTAAATTTTACAATTTTTTATAAACACTCTGTATATTACAATATATTCTTCCACGAAACGATTATATTCTACATTAAAAAATGAACTTATTTTGCGAATCCATTGCCAAAAATTTTTAATAAATTTCGTAAGTATACTGTTGCTATAAAGCCTAAGAAGAGACTATAATGAGAATATGTAGAATTACACAGGCTATTCTATTAAAAAAAAAAAAAAACTAATGTATTGGTTACGTCATAAAAACAGAAGACACTGTTCTGTTAAAAATAATGTTTGTGTTTAGAATTCAAAGAATCGTACAACTTTGGTCTTTGACTTTTTTTGTATCTATGATGATAATGAATGAGAATTCGAGGACTTTTCAATATTTATGTAATATTTTTAACATATTATAAACATACACGGCATTCAAAACGAATCGGACCCTGCATAACGCTATTAATAACTTTATTGTCACTTTATTTTAAATGAAATTTTGAAAATTTAGCAGTTGTTCTGTTTCACAAAACCATGCATGTGTATCATCCATAAAAATAAATGAAACAATTTTATATTATACTTTTAAATGGTGCGCCTCACTTTATTCCAGAGATTTCGATGAATACTGCGCACGCGTACTACTAACTGTCTTTAAAACGCAATTGGTTGGTTATGCGACACGTGGAAGTTGATTGTTTGCGAGTGTGTTGAGTCTGGCTATCCAGCATTGTGCGCCGTACACCGGTACTTTATTAGATTTGTTGTACTGTTAGTAATGATGATACAAAATGTATATCAGTGTTTAGGCTTATTATAGTAAACGAAATTTGCGTGTCCGTACATATTGACAGCAGGTGTTCGCTCGGGTTGTAACTGTTGCGATTTATAATAAAAAACAATCGTCTACATTCCACCTATAAAGACGACTCCATTACGTGGTTTGTGGCGTTTGTCGTGCAGCCTGTGTGGTGTAAGAACCTGTGTTCCCGAGTTCCAAATTGTAAGGTAAGTATAGATAGTGAACTGTCATGTCAGCAAATAAGTCGAAATGGGCCCGTTATTGTAGTAAGTATCGTTTCATTAGAAATGAATTACAACAGTTGTCGGATCCTGCTAATGTAAATAACGAGAGTGTAAGTGTTCCACCTAATAATCTGACCGATGCATCCGAAACCAACGAATGCCCTCACAGTTCAACAAGTTACTTAGCAGCTGAGGAGGTCCAGTCAAAACATAGGACGTTAATTGAAAGTTTTGCAGATAATAAAACCGCTGACTCGATAAAGACCAAAGGTACTGGCTCCCGGGAAAATAAATTTATTTTATTAATAAAAGGCTGGGCGATCGATCAGCAAATTAATTTGAAACAATTGAACTCTCTATTAAAAATTATGGCAGATGTTTTTCCGGATTTTAAACTACCTTCAGATGGCAGAACTATATTGGAGACCGAGCGTAAGGCTAATTTAACTGTAATGAAAAGTTCAAAAGGCACCGATGGTAACTTTGTTTATTTTGGTATTTTACCGTGGTTAAAAAAGTACATTGCACAAAATGGTTGTCTCAAAAATGCTCTATGTAGACAAGGTAGCATTATTTTATCAATTAATATTGACGGACTTCCTTTATTTAAAAGCTCAAATATTCAAGTCTGGCCAATTTTGTGTCGTTTACATTTAAGAAATATCAAAACAGCCCCTTTTATCGTTGCGTTATTTTGTGGTGATTCTAAACCGTTTTCATTAGATAATTATTTGCAAAACTTCATCAGTGAAATGAACAGTTTAATGCTAGAAGGATTCCAATTGGATGCATGTCTAAAAATTCCTGTTAGATTATTATGCTTTACTTGCGATGCACCTGCACGTTCTTTTTTAAAAGGAATTAAAGGACATACAGGTAAATTTGGTTGCGAACGTTGTGTACAGATTGGTCAGGTTTGTAATAGACGCTTAGTTTACTTAGAAACTATGAGTGAATTACGAACACATCAATCTTTTATAAATCAAGACAATCGAGAGCACCATGTTTCAACCAGCCCACTAATTAACTTGAATAATATAGATATCATTAAATGTTTTCCTTTGGATTATATGCACTTGTGTTGTTTGGGTGTTATGAGGAAGCTTTTGAATTATTGGACCAAAGGTTGCAATAGTGCGTACCCGGTAAGACTGTCAGTTAATTTACGTTTATGTTTAAATAACAGACTGAAAAATAGTGCAAAATCTATACCTACCGAATTTACCCGAAAACCACGAACTTTGTTAGAAATCGATCGCTTTAAAGCAACTGAATTTCGTACGATTCTTTTATATTTAGGACCAGTTATATTAAAAGATCTTTTGTCTGAGACTTTATATAAACATTTTCTATTATTTCATGCTTCTATGCGTATATTATTGCATCCTAAATTAATAATTTACGAAGATTGGGTTAATTTGGCCAAGCAAATGCTTACAGATTTTGTTAAAGACTCTTCAGACTATTATGGTTCAGAATTCTGTGTGTATAATGTGCATTCACTGATCCATTTAGCCGATGATGTGGTGTTTTTTAAAGAGACCCTGCATGAATTTAGTGCATTTCCCTTTGAAAGCTTTTTGGCAAAAATAAAATTTGCCGTAAGGTCTCCCTCTAAGCCTTGTGCTCAAATATGCAGGAGAATCTCTGAAGGTTATTTTTCGTTAAACTGCACAGAACAAAAAACAAAAAGTCCTTCAAATAAATCAACTAATACATTTACATTTTCGAATTTTAAGTATAATTTTAATAATGATAAGGACTGTTTTGCACTTCTTAAGAATAAATTGATAATTAAAATTATTGAATTTCCTGACAGTACATATGTCGTAGGTTATTTGTCAACTGATTTACAAAACCTTTATGATGATCCCGTCCCTTCGCGTAGAATAGGAATATATAAATTCAGTAATTTCAAATGGAATATACAAAAAATTCCAGTACATGATGTTGTAGGTAAATGCTGGGTTTTAAAAAGCGAAAATTATTATATTGCATGTGAACTTCTTCATTTAAACTAAACTTACATTTTTTTTAATTTTTAAATAACTAATAACAAAATATTACAGTATCGAAATATAAATAATGGACATGTGTAACAGTTGTAGCTATTATAGTTGTGGATTATTGTAATATTTGTTTTTTATATCATACTATATTATATTATTTTTGTTATCTTGTATTTTGTTTCTGAATTTCTACAAATAAAAGAAGAGTCTGTTTATTTTTGTTTTATAGTTTTAAAGATGTGGGATGTAATAATCTGGGCAACAGAAAATGCAATTGATTTCGTACCTTCTTCATGGGCAAGCGAAGATCGAAGTTTGTACAAGTATCCATCTGAGATGTCCCAACAAAAGCTCCGGCAAGTCATATATGAATCTCAAAATATTGAAGCAAACTATAAGTGGTATCCTGCTGAAGTTAAGGTAAAGGATGTAAAAGTTTTAAAACGAGCCCAGCAATTATGTGAAATGGGCCAGTATACCTCCAATATAGAAAATACAAGCGACAGCGATGAAGAAATGAACAAACGTAAAAATCGCAGAATGGTTTTATGTGAAAATGGTATGGTACATTTGATTAATTGTGTATCGCTTTATGTACTGAAATGTTTCAGATGATGAAGTTTATGACACACCATCCGAAAAATCTTTTCCCAAAAGCACTAACGACGATCTTGGACAAAAATTAAAAAGAAAAAGTCGCAAAAGAATTTCATATGAATTAAGTATAATGCATTTTCTAAAATATTGTCTCTCTTTGTACCACAGTCTTTTAGGTGATCAAGAAGGTTGTGATGTTTTACAAAAACAAGCTAAAACCAAATATAATATACCACCGGAAGAACAATCACATAACTCATCTAATCAAGAAAAATCATTTAACAATCGGCGTAAGTGAAGATAATTTTTATAACAGATTGAATCTGAAAACTAAAGCAAGTAAAGTGATCGATAATAAACGACCCATTTTATTTAAAATAAGAACACTAAAATTATTTCAAAAAGTTCAAAGAAATCATAAGTTTTTTGTCGAAAATTGCAATAGATTGAAATTAATAATCAAAATCACAAGCATATTGTTGGTGTAACTTTATTACACTTTTTTGTAGTGTCACCTTTGGGAGATGGATTAAGTGTTGCGAGCTCGACAAGTACGGTAACCAACATATCTCATGATACGGCTGTTTTGAGTGGTAAGTTTACAACAAAGTTGCTCTATATAGTATGTGTCCTAGATGTAATTGTGATGATTTCTGTATATTTTTAAGGAATTTGGAACCAAATACTAAAAAACCAAAGTGAAATGAAGTATTCGATTAAAGCGTTGGCGAAGAAAGTGGATGAAATGGATACCATGATGAAAATAAAATATTCACAAATAACCAGCTCATCTGGATCCATCAATGACAGCATGTTTGTTGATAAACTGCCATGCAGTAGCTCAGACGATTTAAATGCATTGGACAGTTGCATCATGGACGATCAAATTTTTTCAGACTTGGTATGGTACCCACTTACAGTATAGTACATTCATATAAGAATATGAACAAACTTTGTAGGTCAACTTTTTGTATCTAGTAGGTGGAGAAACTGTCACTAAAACGATATATATGATAATGAAAAAATTGATAACAAATACTCTTGCAACAAATTACTCTGGTGTTGGCAAAAAGCACAAATTGCCTTTTTGCAACTTGAAAATTTACAGTGCAGTTTTAGGTAAAATATTATATTAAGATCAAGCACATTAAATAATATTGTCTTTTGCAGCTGCTACTAGGAAAAGACATGCAACGGCATCAGACGAACAAATTAAGAAAACTGTTTCGTTATACTTGGCCCAAAGCAAAAATCGAATTACACATACAAAAGTTTAGTTTAAATTTACTCTGAAAATTGCAGGTAATTTTGTGGCTATAGAATTTTCAATTTTCACACTTGTACCTACACTTTTCTATTAACTGTTGTTAATAAAATTATCATCTAGATTAAAGTCTTGTGTTACGTGTGTAAAAAAATCTCATTTGTAAAATCTTCATTTAAAATAAAATTTCTTGAGAAGAGTTTTTCTTTTTTTTAATTTTGCTGATGTATAACTGTCAGTTGGATAAGTAGAGAATAAAGCGTTAAGATTAGTTCTTCATCTTAAATGTTTTTGAATAGTTAAGCAAATATTACAACAGGTTTACATTTTTTCTATTAAGGAGTTAGAGCAAAATGATCTGCTGTTTATTTAATTAAAAAATATATTGCAATAAACTAATGAAATATACAGACGGTGTCCGGAAAAAGCGGATTACCTCTTCGATAAGTCCTGGTGAGTAGTGAAAATATATTTTAAAACAATCCTTAATTTTGATGGAGTTATAACTATCCTTATCTAAGTTTCATTTTTATTACGTTTAACAACTATAATAACGAGTCCGATAAGTTGTGTGTAATAAAACTTCATGATCAAACATTAATTACTGTTTCAGTTGAAATGTACAATGTTATGATTGTTTTGTTTTTGTAGTGATTTCATAAAATATTTATATGATCGAAAAAATTGTCAAATTCAATGTTGTTACAATATTATATTGCTAATATGTAGCTAATATAAAAAACTATATATCGCATATATATTTTTTTAATATTTTTTCACCATAAGTTTTCAATATTTATTCAATAAAAAAAAATGCCATAATCTACATTGTTACAATATTACTACATAATATATAGAAAATATAAAAAAAATATGTATTATAAAGATTTCTTTCAAATATTATTTAAGTATAAGTTTTCAATATTTATTCAATAAAAAAAAAATTGTCACTTTCCATATTTACGAAACATTTAGTTTTAATATTTAGCAGATATTTGTGTGCCACAGGGGATATTTATAAGTATACCAAAATCCTCTACCAAAGAGCATATATTTACTCTACTGACCTGCAAATTATTACGAGATGCAATAAGGACACCCCCACCGCGTGACTTTGAAGTTTCTTTAAAGTTGCGATCAGCTCTAAAGCCATTGAAATTATTTAAATCAAATAGGTCGCCATCAGTCACGCCAGAATTAAGCCATGTTTCAAACAAAGCAAATATATCATACTTCATCCAGGTTGAAGATATTAAAGCATCCGTGGCTCTCACATTTTGGTACTAACTATATACTTAAAGGCGTATTTGCTGCATGACTATTCGCACGAGTATTAGTCAATGCAGAAAAGGGTTATTAATTTGCACGTTTAGAAAAAGCTTTTGTTTGAATCTATCTAAAGCTATTTTGCAAGATGTACACTTATTATACTCCCAAGCTGCATGGTTTTCGCATATATTTTCTGGGCGACTACGCATGGTCTTACAATTAATACATCGAACTTTCTCAGATATACCAGAAGTTTCTCGTGAAATGGGGCATTCATTAATTTTATTATGCTTCTCAGCACACAGCGGGCAACTGAGCTCACTGTCTGTTACTATGGAAAAAACCAATACATCTATATCATCGGGGTACTGTTACCGCATCATAACATTTCCTCCTTTTACTCTCCCTTTTTCTTTTGTTATTCTCAGATGAGTATCCATCCATCTCCTTTTTATCACTCAGTATTTTAAGTATTTCGATCTTTCTTAATTTATTACTACTTTAATAAATATTGTAGGAAGTCCGACGAGCTTTAATGTGATAATTTTCCTATATGAGATAACGTAAACGTGTCTCTATTTATTTTATTTATTTTAAAAATTATTTTCAAAATGTACCTGCGCTAGGAGCAAAATGGTGACATTTTTACTAAAACAACTCCCAGAAATTATGCAAAAAAAGACAAGAAAATGCTTTACTCTTGTCTTTACGTTAACCGGTGATGTTAATAGATTCATTAGCAAGGCTCAAAACTTACCTAAAAAATTAAATTAAAAATATTAGTTACAGGGTAAGAAAAAAAAAACGTGGCCTATGAGAGGATCGTAAAAATTAGTCGTTTATTAAAATACCAACATCGTTTTTAAATACCACAGATGCATATACACATTATGTACTAATTTACAACCCGTGTAATTTTTAAGCCGGGATAACCACGTGAGTCTAAAATTATTCCTTTTTCAATTAACGCTCTTAACGATGAAACATTTGTGGTTACTGCGAGTCAATCTTAAGATATAAAACAAATAGGTATCATTTCATTTGAAAAAGCAACACCAAAGTAATTGGAAGTGGAGTCGCGTGATTTTATTAAAAGGCATTTCTCAATACGTCGACAACAGAGCCCTTAGTGGCATTAGGAAATGATAGTTGATATATTGTCGTACTCGCAACTCGCATCCTAATGCCTTACCTGGCTGATGCCCACGGGAGGCATGAATACGTAACGTTTTCCCTTCGAATGACAGAAATGAAATAGAATCACCCCACGTCAGTAAAAAAGATTTTGTCGAAATATATTAGTTTAGCGTCCTATATATTATTTTTGTGGGCTGATACGATATTTAATCTGAAAACAGGAAATGAAAAGAGCACAGCCGCATTTGCAAAATGGATTTCCCGCGCGACAGATTGTGCTAGTTGTTAAATAAACTAATCGCTACGGCAAATGTACCTACGCCGTCTGATCCTGAGGGATGAACACAAAGGTCAACGACAGATGCGGATAATGGACTCGTGAATTATGAATAGGCGATTGTGCAGGTTGTTCTACTGCTTCTGCTATGTAAAACATGCATTAGTTCATCAAAAGCAGTAATTGATTATTATTATACCTATAGTGCTGCATATGTTTTATTAATAAATAATTATAATAATTCATTCAAGTTTAATTGATTTTTAAAAATAAGTAATAGGTATGTTAGTAATATAGAACATATACACAGTGATTATGAAGACCAAAATACATTCGCACATGAATACATGATACTTCTCGAATTTTTTATTTGAACAATGTTTTCATATCAGAGATAATCCAATTCTAGGACACGTCAAATGGGTTAAAAATAGACTTCAAATTTCATACAAGGAGAAAACAGCAAACTAAAATTGCAAAAAGTAAATTTAATATGTAAAAACAATAATAAAATAACATAACTAATGCAAAAATCCTCAAAATGTGCGCCACCTTTCCTTTCACAAGCATCTACATCCTTCAGGCAAGATCGTCGAGCACGTTAAGCATTCGATTTTCCACGTCATTTAAATTTTGAATTCCCGAGCGTAAGCTAAGGAAGTATTGTAATAAGGAGTTCATCGGGCGACGGGTTGCTTTCACATTTCCTGAGGGTCATGCCCCTAGAGTACGAAAAAATAGGTGTTAAATTGTATATAATAACATAGTCCCACACATGTGGTTTATGCATCCGTGTTACCCGAAATGTCCAATATTATGTAACAATTAAATTTTGAATCTCCAAAACCGAATGAATGCTTTCAAATCTTGCACATGTTTTAAAGTCATCATCATCAATAAGCATAATAAATTTTTAATCAAAATATATTTTTGTTTATCCCTCCCCAAAAAATTAATGACGTCACCTCAAAATTTCGCCTAATAATTCCTATCCAAAATGTGCAAAATATGGTGCGTGTGTAATTTAATGAATGTATCAATTTATTTTGTTGATTAAATCAGAAACTCCAAAACTAAATGCTATGAAATCTTGCAGACGTTTAGAAGTTATTATAAGCATTGTAAATTTTTAATCAAAATGTATCTGTTTATGTATATTATTACTATTTAAAAAAATCAAGTTGGCTTTGTACTTCCAAAATAAATGTTGATGGAAATTTGAATATTTCAGAGGATAGAGTTCAAATACTTTTACTTATGTACCAAATTTCAATGAGTTCTGATATGTTTTGACAAAGTTCCAGAAATGATTGCACAATTATACCTTACGTAAAAATTGAAATGCATGTTATGTAGTAATCCACGAGGTTGAAAAAGAGATATAGAGTGCTGGCATTAAGTAAAAAATCCGCGTAAAAACAGAGTTTTACACTTCGTCGTTGACGGAATGTAAATGTTCGTGTTTTTGACACGTGAACGACGGGACCATTAATTAAAGCGCTGAATGTGATAAAGATGTCTTTCATAAAACGTGAAAATTGAATTTAAGAAAACCCGTCTTGAGGCAATTCCATCCGAATTATTTTACAAGAAAATTTTATTGCGTGTTGTGTGTTGCGTGAAAGCGATGAAAAAAGAGGAAACTTATTAAGATGTTTCGTCACGTTCCGTCTACACGCGAATCGAAGCAGAAGGACCTAACAATAAATGATGTTAAGATGTTGAAGTGTGATAGTTTTACAAATGCAGGGGGACGTTCCAGACAAGGGTTTAACTTCTGCGTCACTATGACATGCCCAAATATTTGATTTAACCCGTCAGGCATGAGGCTGGATGAATGCTAATGTGAATTTTGTAGGAAAAGGGAAAAGTGAAAAAAATGCATATTTCCGTTGAGCTTCATAAGCACATGCTCTTTATGCATGTTAAAACAGAGAACATTTTTGACGCTTTGATAAAAAGACATTATGACGAGTATTTTTTAAAGTAATACGACGGTAGGCAACTTATTGCTCTTAGCCGTACACTGGAGCTAAAAAGCACATTTACGTAAGCCTGGAATTTTAAGTATTGTGCAGTAAACGGATCACAAACTATACATACTTATTTACTTTTGTGGTAAACACCACTTTTACCTTTTGCAAATTAGGAAAAATTAGTACATAAAAATTGATTTATAAGCAAAGAAAAACTGTTTATCATGCTCACAAATCAGAAACTTGCCATCTAATCCGTGAATTTTTACTTCCCAACCGTAAGCTGAAGCTATTGTAACCTGTTGTAATAGGGTTCATTTCACGAATGACTCATTTCATAATTTTAGACGTTTTATAGCTTCTAGAATCTAGAATACAAAAAAGTAAATCTCCAGTTTCCATTTATTTGTGGT